ACTGTAAGAATAAAGACCAATGCATGCAGTGCCTCACGTAACCGCAAAACGAACACGTTAAGTGACCGTGAAGAAGCTTCTCTTCCTTAGAACTCTACATTGAATTGATTTGCATTTGCTAAGCCTATAACTACATTTCAAGATTAATATAAACCATTTCTAGGTTTTACAGATTTTGTTTTTGGTTCATATAGATAAGCTTTGTTTTTGTTCTAAAACAACCAAATAATGTGGTTTGTATTTTTGGACTGGTAAAGTTCCTGTTCCTGATGTTTATGCCTGCTGCTACTATCCAGCCACTTGATTAATTAATAAAAAAAAATTAATAAAACTTTGTTGTTTTCATTGTGTTTGTCTTTTGCTTAAAATGTTCAATACAGCAGACTGTTGGCTTCCCAGCCAGTAGTCCTGTGGTAATGACATGTATGTTGCCTTTCTTTCCTTCAAGGAATGTATAAAATACATTCGCATATTAATACAGAGGAGTCAGAAGTACAAAAAACTGAGGAGTCGGAACATTTATCTACCGACTCCACAGCCCTGAAGAATACAAGTGTTCATGAATGGTGTAGGCAGTTAAAGTCCATGATGACGCAAGAATTGGGCAGCCAAAAGTGCAAAGGACAGATGCAAATGTATTTACGGGAATCTGTCTTAAAGGAAAAGACCAGAACTCTGACCTGACAAGTGGATTCTCCACATGACAATGCTCCTGCACTGAATGCGTTATGTATTCACAAGTTTCTGGCCCAAAAATCATTCCAACCACCTTATTCCCCTGACTTACCACCCCTTTAGTTTTCACCATTTCCGACATCCAGCGCACCGCAACAAAGATACCGCTTAGCACTCCGGAAAGTGAATACAGGGATGTTCCCGGCAGTGGCACAGTCGTCTAGAAAAGTGCATCACTTCACAAGGGGACTGTTTTGAAGGTGGCAACAGCCGCTAGTGTATAGGTAAGAAAAATATTTTTTACCGTCCATTCTGGGAATTAAATTATCTCACCTTGTATATATAGTGATGGCTCCATCCATACCACAAGACCCCAAGAACAGAGGGGTGGTATGCTGGGATACCAGAAATAATACAACCTGGGGACAGGGAGCTGCAGGTATAAAACGCATAAAGAAATCTACACAACATGAGGGTATGTATAAGCCAACTGATAGCATTAATCAATTAAACGAAGGTAAAAAATGTCTACCTTTATCGAAGTTGCCCTTTAATAAATCCCTCAATCCCCCCCCCCCCCCCCCCCCCGAGTTTACTTGGGGTTACATTTACCTTTAGCCCGATGCATTGATCTCTCCAGGTCCCAGGCAGTTTCTCTTCATACTGTGCATCCCTGGTGAGGCCCCAATCATTTCTACGAGTAAACTGTAGTTAGTGGTCCCTAGGAGAATGGCTTACCCATTGGAATAAATAGGGCTGAGTGTGCACGTGCGGTATAAAGAGGGGTTGGCACCATGCCAGAGCCAAGATTGCAGGATTTGACAGCAAGGTTAACTCCGAGATTTTCTTTCATAAAGAAAAATACTATTGTTCTTCACTCCACAGCAGCCGGCACTCTCCTCCTCTCTCCAAACTCGGGGGAAGATTTACCAAAACTGTAGCTTTCAGAATCTGCTGCAGCTGTGCATGGGAGCCAATCAGCTTCTGACTTCAACTTGTTCAATTAGGCTTTGGCAATAAAACCTGGAAGCCGATTGGTTTATATGCAGAGCTGCACCAGATTTTGCACTCACCCGTTTCAGTAAATTCCCCCGCACTGGGTTGGCCCTATTGGCCCCGCATTTTATGCCATGATGTCACAGTGCGACCACCAGTTGGAGCGCCGAAGAGAAGAGGCTTTGTGAGGAACGGTTGCACGGCATGGTGAAGCGACGAATAAGGTTTCATAGCCTATTCCTCTACCCCTCGACTTAACGAGTAATTAACCTTTGCACTGTGGATGGGGTGTTCACTGTAAGGCTAGGTTCACACATGTGCGGGTGGTGCCACAAAAATCCGTGCAGCCGCACCACCCACACAGAAGAATGCAGACCCGTGGGTGCCCTTAATTCTAACGGCACGCCGCCCGCGCAGAACATCGCAACCGTACTGGGAACCGAGGTTCCCGTGCGGGCTGCGTATTCAGAGGGAGTGCAGGGACTTCTTCCCTACGTGTCCGGGCACGGGAGTCCATTCAAATGAATGGGCTCTCCTGCCCATGCAAAACGCGGCCCGCAGGAACGCGGATATGTGAACCGGGGGTAAGGGTATTTTGTTTACAAAAATCTTGCAGTTCAGCTTTTTATTGTCCCTGGAAGGCTGCAATCAGGGGGGGTGGGAGGGTTTATATTAAAAGATAAAATTCACTAAAGGTGAAGTTGCCCTTTGAACTTATCAAACAAATCCAACCAGTAATAGGGATTATTTACTAAAACTGCAAGGTGCAAGATCTGGGGCAGCTCTGTATAGAAACCAATCAGCTTTTACTGTCAAAACTTAATTGAACAAGAAGTTAGAAGCTGATTGGCTGCCATGCACAGCTGCACCAGAGGGCCTCAGTTTTAGTAAATCTCCCCCAATGTCTGTTATAGCCACCAACATGTCAAAAACTGTTTCCCAGCTATCGCTATAGAAACATACCTGCGCTCACACAATCAACCGCACTTCCAATAACAATCCTACAAACCTGACCTTTTCTGTGTATAAAATAAATACCATCCAACCCTTGAGGAAGGCTGCTCATCATTACATCGGGGGTTTCCATATGTGGTGTCTTTGATAGATGTGGATTTGAACATAAAATAAGTTAAAAGTATAAAATAAAGCTAATTTAAAATAAATTATATCGATTATATCAATCTGTTAGGTCAGAAATGTCAGAGATCCTCCTGCTAATTTGTGAAGGAGAAGGCTCCATGGCTGTTCTCTTGCATTACTCTATAGTGAGTCGCTGACCTGGAACAAGTTATACAGAGAAATCAACATTCCAGTCCTGCATACTTGTGTTTAAGCAGAGACTTAAAGTACAACCAAAGGCAAAGTGGAGAGGGGATAGAACCCCTTTCATGTTTTTACTGCTGCCTGTGCCCCGTTGTGGGGATTCATCCTCTCAATTTGTCTTGTTTATCATTTTTACTGAAACTGAAAGAAAATCCTAAATTTTGGGGTGTCCCCAGAACAGGAATAGATCTTCCAATGGGAACACTAGTTCTGGTGACCTGGGGAAGGGGGGGGGGGGGGGGGGGGGGGGGGGTCAGGCAAGGGATTCCTTTAATTTACACAGATTTCCGCTCGCTTCCATATTTGGCTATGGGACAGGAAGTGAAATCTCCCCAATGGACCACAGACGGCATAAAAAAATTTGACAGAGGATATAACCCTTCCTTATTCTATCCAAAATGGAAAAAAAAAGGTTTTGCCTATAGTTCTACCTTAATAGGCAGTATTAGGATGATAGCCTGAAGCCTACATCATCCAAAACATCAATATGAAAAGTCAGCGAGGGGAACCGCTATTTTCTTACTCACATGTTCACCTAAAAGCTTTTTTTTTAGCAACAGCTTTGGGCTCCGTTCGCATCTCCGTTCACACATACTCAAAACACTGTGCAATCTGACAAACAACACCACATGTGCTCAGGTGCCATTCACTTTCAATGGCATCTAAAACGTGGTACGATTCTATCATGATAAATCGTGCAAACTGCATCAAGCAAAGATCCTGCTCCTTTTTCGGTCGACAGCCTTTGCGCGATGCGATTTATCGTGTGACAATCACGGCACAACTGAAGCACATTTTAGGTGGCACTGAAAATGAATGGCACCTGAACATATGTGGTGCGATGTCATTTTTGCACATGGTTTTGGGATCGTGGGCAGAAACGATACAAAACGCCCAGATGTGAACGGAGCCTTAAAGAGCATCAATTCCTCAGATAAACAGATCATCACTCAGATAAACAGCTGCGGCTTCATATTTAGCCCTGGTTCACACCGGCGCGGAATTTGCAGCGTTTTCAGTGCGAATTCCACACCGCATCAGAATCGCACCAAGTTCATGCGAACCGCTGCGGGCGTGTATGTTAAGTTAATAACACCCTGAAATCAGTTCGCAAAACGCGGTGCGATGTGCACAATCGGATTGCATAGGTGTGAACAGGGGCGGACTGACAACTCATGGGGCCCCCGGGCAATAGGGGATCATGGGGCCCGTGTCCTTGCCCAAACTCAAAAAAGGTACCAGAGCATCTCATGGGGCCCCCTACTGACCCCGGGCCCTCGGGCAGTGCCCGAGTTTCCAAATGGTCAGTCCGCCCCGGGTGTGAATGCCCATGCGATCCGATTCTAGTGCGGACCAAAAAAAAGGGTCCTGCACCTTTTTGGTGCGAATAGAGCCATACAAATCGCACACAAATCGCATGTGATTTGCACAGGAATGCGGTGCGGTTCCTGTGCGAATTACATGCGATATACCGCACTACATGTATGTGAAACCAGGGTAAACCTATGATTACGCCTAACCTTGACAGGGAAGGAGGTCCCAGATGGATGAATAACCATCAGCATCAGCTGATATAAAACATCATTTGACAGCGTTTGAATTTTTTTTTTCGGAGTGTAGCTGATTTTTTTTCCTTTGGATTTGTGCAGTCTGTGGCACATGGGATGGGCCTAGATCTGGGGCTTGGGAGCAGCGTGTTCCTTACCTTTATAAATAAACTTTATCTGTACAAAATTAAGAAACAAAACAGAGCCTGGGAAGTGAGCTGTCAGCAGGCTCAGGTGCATGGCCTACTTGGCTCTGAAGCAAAGCATCGCTGTATCTACCGGACAGCTGTAGTAGAACAAAGTCTCTGAGGACGGCACCTCCCGTTTCATCTCAATAATACCATAGTAGCAAGAAAAGCGTGCAAAAGTGGTGCATGGACAGTACAAAGTTGGAAGACTTGGAAAGAGTCAATAATAAAATAAAGCTTCTTCCTTTCCAAATGGAAAACTAAGTGCTGGCTAGAGTCGGTCTGAGACACCCGGGAACAGGTAGAGGTCCTTGCACAGCGTGCTGCAATACTCTGACATCTCTTTGCAGCGGTCAAACTCGGTCCCTGGAGCGTGGCCCTCCCGTTTCTTAATGCACGCATTGACCTGTGGGAGAAAAATGGTACGATCCTATTAGAGTACATGACACTCGATTCGAAGCGGAACTCAAGCCAAATAGCTGAGAGCTAAATAGGCAGCTAAAATAACTGAACTTGAAGTGACAGCTTGAATTGTTTTAAATCCAAAATGTTTGCAAGTCTATTCAGCTACACTAACGATTCGCACCCCCGCTGCACTTATTAACCAAAGGATGGCGCCAGGATTTACAAATTTCTGCTCTGCAGCTTCCTACAGTGAAGGAAATAAGTATTTGATCCCCTGCTGATTTTGAATATTCGCCCACTCACAAAGAAATGATCAGTCTAAAAATCGAATGTTCGGTGTATTGTAACACTGAGAGACAGAATAGCAACAAACAATTCAAAAGAAATGCATTTCTAACAAATGATGCAGCCCGGTCCAGTCCAGCCTTGTGTAGGTCTACAATCTTGTCCCTGACATCCTTGGACAGCTCTTTGGTCTTTGCCATGGTGGAGAGTTTGGAATGTGATTGTTTGATCACTCCTGTGGACAGGTGTGTGTTTTATACAGGTAACAAAATGAGATTAGCAGCACTCCCTTTAAGAGACTGCTTCTAATCTCAGCTTGTTACCTGTATGAAAGACACCTGGTAGCCAGAAATCCTGCTGAATGATAGGGGATCAAATATTTATTTCCCTCATGTACATGCAAATCAGTCATCATTTGTTAGACATGCATTTCTGCTGAATTTTTTGTTTCTATTCTCTCTCAGTGTTACAATACACCGAACATTCGATTTTTAGACCGATCATTTCTTTGTGAGTGGGCAAACATTCAAAATCAGCAGGGGATCAAATACGCATTTCCTTCACTGTATATCATCTAAGCCCCCACTCCTAATTTTAACTTCAATTAACCTCCCTAGCAGTATGATTATTTCAGATTTTGGTGCTGAAAGCGGTACATTATTTTGCATGGAAAAATGTAGTTTTTTTTATTGTAGGCTGTAATATTTAGGAATAACTCACTGAAATCTGTCCAAACAAGAGTCTATTAAACATCCCGGGTATGATAAAATTTGAAACACAAAATCATAAATTATAATTTAATAAATAACCATAAAAAATAATAATATAATAATAATACATTTAATTCAATAATATAATCAAACAAAAAACACTGAAATTTGAAATATAGCGCCAAGTTCACACATCGCTGAGCTCAGTCGCAAAATCGTTTTCAGTGTCTGATGACGAATTTCCCCACAAATCATTATCACTCAAGTTCTGCAAGTGGTTCTGATTTACTATCGCTGTTCTCTAGCTGATCTAAACCCGCTTTTGACCTAAAGGGACACTTTTTGGACGCCATGGACTTTTCTAAGTTTCCAGGCAGAAAGAACAGTCAAAATGCAGACAGGGGACAGGACAAAGCACTCGGGACAAAATGTATGTGAAATGGGTTGAAACAGCAATGTTTTACTATGTAAAATCGTTTTGAAAAAAAAATGAAATTTTTTTAAATTTTCAAATTTCCCGCCGGCGGCAGGGGCGCCCGTACATCCCGACGTCACAGGGACCGGAACACAGGAGCCGGATACCGGCATCAGCCGGAGGAGATGGCCGGGGACGCTGCAGGGGACACAATCGCGCGGGAGCGAAGGACAAGGTAAGTGCTGCAGGGACTCCCTGATGCAGCGCCGCATGGTAAGCCCGAGTGTAGCTCGGTGTTACCGCTTTTGGTACTGAAATTTTACCCCGAGCTACACTCGGGAATACCGCCAGGGAGGTTAAGCCATGTACCACTGGGAAGGAGTTTCTTATGCCTGCCTTTTCATGGAGGTTTGCCTAAATACCTCCCATGCAGCCACCAGAGCCTGAAACATGTTAGCATGGCACCACTATGCAATGTAGAAGAAAAATCTTGACAGCACTGGCACTCCTACTTTTAGCTCAAATACAGATGAGAAGATTGTTGGAATTTCATATTAAGGCTCCATGCACACTGGGCTTAAAAAGACACCAGTTCCCTTGGCAGAAACAAATGCCCATATAGAGCGTTTTTGTACAGTACATGCATCTAGGAGTGTTTAGCAATTTTTTCTGCCAGAAAACTCCTCTCAAAAACGCCAACCAGAAAGTTTTTTTTTTTTTTCTGCCTCTAAACGCTGAGCCTAAAATATGCATTTAAACGTCCTAATGTGCATGGGCACACACAGGAGAACAATCTATGGGCAAAACACAAAACGCCTGTAGAAGCAGCTTTTTTTAAGCCCAGTGTGCTTGGACCCTCATATAGATTTCAGGAAATGATATGGAATTCATAATGTAGTCACATCTAGGCTTACCTTTACAAGCATGTCAGCTACATGTGTGTCCTTAGCGTGCTTGGAAAACACCTCAGTGAGATCCTGTATGAACCATGAGCCACGTTTTGTGTTACGAAGCGATACAGTACCTGAAATAGATCGAAGGAAAAGATGTGAACTACTTATAGACATGAACTACAACTACTTATCCACAGGTAAAGGAAACCTTTCCTGAGACAGGCATGGAAGCTGCTATTGCGATTTCTAATCCTGAACGTTTCCGGGATGTCATGTTCACCCCCTTGCTTCAATAGTTTATGTCCCTTACCTGGAATAAACATACAAAATTGTGCCTGCGTGGTTTTCCTTCGGGTACTCCGGTTTCCTCCCACACTCCAAAGACATGCTGGTAGGTTAATTGAATCCTTTCTAAATTGGCCCTAGTATGTGTATGTATGAATGTGAGTTAGGGACCTTAGATTGTACACCCCTTGAGGGTTAGGGACCTTAGATTGTACGTGAGGGTTAGGGACCTTAGATTGTACGCCCCTTGAGGGTTAGGGACCTTAGATTGTACGCCCCTTGAGGGGTTAGGGACTGATGTGATTGTACAATATATATGTAAAGTGCTATTGATGGTGCTATACAAGTACCTGAAATAAATAAATAAATAGGATGTCTAATTTTACAACTATGCATACGTGTTCCAGGTCAGTGACAAACCCTACTGATCCCAGCTGGTCAGTGTACTAACCAGACGACTGGCAACATAAGAAGGGGACTGGCAATGACTGCCTCCGGGTACCTCTAGAGCAGGGATCACCAACATTTTTCACATTAAGGGGTTTATTTACTAAAGCTGGAGAGTCCAAAATCAGACTCCCTTCTGCATAGAAACCAATCAGCTTCTAACCTCAGCTTGTTCAATGAAGCTTTGGCAATGAAACCTGGAAGCTGATTGGTTTCTATGCAGAAGTGAGTCTGATTTTGCACTCTCCAGCTTTAGTAAATAAACCCCTAAGTGTCAATTTACAAGCAACTGGTGTGCCAGTGAGCAAAACCACAGGTCAGCCCCAATTCCTGCACCTTCAGACCTCAAATCAACCCCAATTCAAGCACCATCATGGAAAAAGGGGTTTTACATTCATACTTGCCACAGCTGAAGGTTTCAGTAAAGGGAAGAGGTGGGTGTCTTCACATATTGTATGGGACCACAGACGGGCCCATGCTGGTAATTGGAGGTGGAAAGGAACCGCTGAACATCACTGGCACCCTTTCTGAAATGTCATGGAGGTGGATAGGCTGAAGGTGAAGAGGAGCATGCCTGGGTTTTAATTGATGGCCTAATGAGTTATTAATTGCAGCCTATGGCAGTGAAGCTGTGTTTGCAGGAAGCAGGGGCCACCAGAGGATCCTTGGGTCTTTCAGTGGGCCAATCTGAGCCTGCGTATATCCATCTTCCAGTTGCCACTGAAAATGACATTGCGCGCCCATCCTGGCACATGTGACTTAGGCTGCCTATCCCTGTTCTAGGTTAAGATTTGTTTTCAATGTAATTGTGGTGAATGCCTCGGACAACATACAACTCAGAAGGTTTAAACAACACAGCTCTATTTATTAGTTGTCACAAACCACAGGTAGACTTCTAAAGCTGCCCATACATTACTTAGTTTTTTTCAATTGGCGGGCTCTGAGGAAGAGGCAAGTCCTCGAAACGCGTCAGCCTTTTGGATGTCTATACTCCCTATTACGGCCTGTTACTCAGCGCGGTGTTGACCCAGCTGTTCTTTATGATGTGCCTTGACTATATCGTTGTTTGTGAGCACAACACATACTTTATTTTTTATTAAACATTTTTTATGGTAATGCACTAGGCCTGTGCGCCCTCTGTTTTTTCTTTCCTCATTCAGTATATTTGGATTTCCCCTGTCCATTTGAGGGCAGAAAGGTGTGCATGTTCCAGGACATTCCTTATGTCCATCGAGTCCATCCCCAAGCGCAGGAGCATTTGCGTTTGCTGGTTCTCAGACTTCTAAAGCTGCCCATACATTACTTAGTTTTTTTCAATTGGCTGGCACTGAACACAAAAAAAAAAACTGAGCTGATTTCCCCATCCACACATTTGAGGTGGATGGGGAAATCCTCCCTGCTGCTTCATTGTATTCGGGCATCAGAATACCCTGATCAGCGCTGCTGCCCATTGGCTGCAAACCCTGATTGAGCAGAAATTTTCCAACAAGCTTGTTCATGAAAAGGCAATCGATAGATCAACTTCTCATGAACAGGAATGGCCATACATGGATCTAACTTTGTCTGGTTCCTGCTCAAGGGACGAATGTTGATCAGCCTAAGGCTGCTCACATAGAACCTGCTATTCACAAGCAATGTCACTCACTACAGCAACCTTTTAAGCTGGCCACAGATGGATAGAATTTCAGGCAACAATTATTGGAAAATTTGTACAAAAATTCTCAAAACATTCAAATATCGTTCAAAAGATTTTGTTTGCTTTTAACATTTGACTTTTGGAATGAATGGACTTTACGGAATGTATCATATATGAACTCTGTTCTTTCCTTCCCCATTGTAGAGTGTCTCAGTTGTGACAAAGCTAGAGATACACTTTATACAGACTTCTGCATTTCACACTCACCCTTCAGACAGGCATAGGCACAGATCATATCAGACTGGGTGGGCAGGCGGACTTTGCCAGTTTCCCTTCCTGCATCGCTCTGTTCACAGCTTGGAGAAGCAGTCTGGTCTCTCCCATCTCTCTGGTCAACTCCTCGGTCTGCCTCAACTGCAGGACAAAGAAGAAAAAAAAAAGGGTTGCAAACGGCTGTGAAAGGAACCCGAGCTTTAGGTCCAAAGTTGTTTTTTGACAAGATATTTGACTAGAACAATTCAATACCCCTAAAGGGTTTAAGAACCAAGAAACTCATGGAAGAAAAATAAAGGAAACAAAAGAAGGGATTGAGAAAGGAAAGAAAGAAGAGTAGAGTGGTAGAAGAGGAGGTAAGAGTAGAGGAGAGGAATTAAGTCAGGGGTGCTATACCGAAGGCCGAAGGCCACTTACGTGGTTTGGTAACCGGTGACGGGCCACAATAAAATGAATTGGTTCCAAACTTAGTTTTTTTTATTTTGAATAGCATAATGAACATTTTCCTCCTGCAGTGGGAGGGAGAAAAGCTGGCTTTCAGCAGTTGCAGGGGGAAAACGGAGAGGATCAGTTCCTGTATTTACCGCCCCCTCCTGTCCAAGTGTAAAACAGGATGTGACAGGGAGGCCGCACAGGCCTTCTGGAGCATGGGTTTGGGTCACCATTGCGACCCCTGATGCTACACCAGTGGTTGGGGTGTGTAGTAAACACATCTCAACTATGGCTTCCCCCAAACCAGGATTGTAAACGAGCCCTTACTGCCCTGAGCCCCCTATTATGCTGCTTTCACATTGATGCACTGCGGTTTGTCTGCATTGCAGGTACAAAGCAGAGCACCTGCGGCTTTCTGCAGGTTAGCTGCACTTTGCCATACACTTCTATTATGTCTTGTGGGTGTGGTACACTTTCAGGATATAACAGAAGTCTATGGCACAGTGCAGCTAACCCGCAGGTCAGTGTGGAAGCAGCCTAATAGTAGTTGTCATTACTTTTATAGGTGCTAATATGCCCGTTGCAAAAGCGCAGTGATGTGCAATACACTGACCTTCTTTTCCTCTTTCAGCTTCTGCTGGCATCACTCTCCAGGCTGCTAGAAAGGCGCAAGTGCACTTGGTATCACTCCGCCTGGGAGAGGAGCTGGCTGGCTACAGAGGAAGCATCGGCTTATACGGTTCCTGCTCCCTCCACGGTCGCCTGCTTCCTCAGCTGCTGGTGCTAGCTCGATGCACTCTGATGCTCTAGGATGGCAGGTTGGCAAGACCATAACGTGACCAAGGGGTTGCCGACCCAGGGTATGCGATTCCCTGATCTGAGGTTGTGAGCCAAACAGGGGCGGAATGACAACTCATGGGGCCCCCGGGCAATAGAAGATCATGGGGGGCCCCCATGTCCTCGCCAACACTTAAAAAAGCCTATGAAAAAGCCAATGAAAGGTACCAGGGGCATCTCATGGGGCCCCTTACTGACCCCGGGCCCTCAGGCAGTGCCCGAGTGCTCGAATAGTCAGTCCGCCCCTGGAGCCAAATCAGAGGGCTTTGCGGGCCACATGTGGCCTGCGGGCCATCGGTTATGCACCCCTGGATTAGGGAGTTGAGATGAGAAATTAAGTAGTAAAGAAGAAAGGATAAAAAAAGAGGGAAAAAGCAAGAATGGGAGATGAGAATAGGTGAGAGAGGTAGGAGATAGACATGGAGAAAGGGATGTGAGAAGAGAGCAGGAGGAGACGCTGAGAGGGGGAGAGGAAGGAGAAGAAGAGAGAAATGATTAGGAAAATGGAGAAAGAAGGCAGAGGAGGAAAGTTGAAAGGAAAGAGCGAAGCGGGAAGACAGAAGAGATGTGAAAGGGGAGAGGAAGAAGAGAGAGAGAAGTGGGTACAGGAAAGGAGGGGGGTGCTTGTTTACCACCTTTACAGTCAACACTGCTTCACTGTCAAACCTGGCATATCACAGCAACTAATCCATGGTTATCATCATTTGTAGAATGTTTTTCTAGAATCATTAAAGTACACGTGGGCCCCCACCTTGTAAAACAACCCATTCAGTTTAAAATAGAAATCAAAGGCAAAACATTTGTGTATACAAATAAAAACATTATAAAAACCTTTTTTTTCCCCTTTTTTGCAAGTGATCACATACCCTGTGTTATCAGCTGCATACAGAGGTGGGAGGGGTGACCTGCCATTAGAAGTCTGATCATTGGAGGAGAACAGGCTGAGTTCTAAGCACAGCTAGAAAACTGACCATGCTGTGCTCTCATGCCTACCATGGTCAGTTTTTAATAGGAAAGCAGAGGGACTGGCAGGTACACCAGGGATTTCACACAAAGGAAGTAATGCAAAGAAAACAGGATATTTTTTCACACAAGTACAGGGTACAGCAGGCACGGATCAGGAATATGAAATGTTGGGTTTACATATTCTCTAAAAACAGTTTTATTTATCTCACAGACCACCATGACACTAGATTTTTGCAGTTTCTACTGAAAAGACAGGGGATCTCCATCTATTTGCAATCATTGATATGGACAGAGCCTGTAGCATACTTGGTATCTGGGTATTTATCAGCCAAGACTTGTACAGAAATTATTCTGGGAAAGAATGAGATAGCACAGAAGGGGTCTTTTAGTCCCTGCATGTCTCAAAAGAGAGAACCTGCCACCTAAAAATCATCACATAGGGAACTTAGTGTCCCATTTGTGATGAGAAAAAAAAGTTAGGTAAAAAAAATATATTTTTTTTACTGCAAAAAAATAAAAGTTACACCCAAGCACATAACACCCCCTCCCCCGCCCAAAAAAAAGTATACGCAAATACGAACGTAAACACACACATCAGGGCGCCAATGCGTGAAAACATCGAGTGTGATACACATATTACATATCGCCGCGCACACCGCTCCTCCGTAACGCTGAACTGATGACCTATAAGGGGCTTTTGCAGCGTCACCTATAGAAAATATAGGGCACTGAAGTTTGCTGCCATTTCATAGCTGCACACAAATTTATGGTTTGGCATGTTGAGTATTTTTTTACTCAGCGCAACCTCGTCTTTTATATTTTACCAAAAATGTGGGTAATTTATTGCGTTGGTTTGCCCTAAAATTCACTTTAGCGTGTTTTTTACTGAAATTTTGCATTTCCTAGACCTTTGCAGTAATATCGTGTGACATAAAACAATTGGACCTACCACTATTTTATTCCCTACGGCAGTGATGGAGAACCTCTTAGACACCGAGTGCCCAAACTGCGACCCAAAACCCACTTATTTATCACAAGTGCAATTAAACCTGAATACTGAGGTTGTAGTTTAGAAAAAAAAACAACTCATACAGTTGTGACCAAAATTATTCAACCCCCACTGAAATTGAGTGTTTTGGCCAGTTTGACATTGCTTTTGATCATTCAGTCATCTTGCTTACATTTACATTAAAGAGGCACTTGTAGGTCAGACAAATATAACATAACAGTTATAATGAAATAACCACAAATGTCTTTTCTGTGCTCACAGCATTATCAGTTTTATTCAACCCCCAAGTGACATTCAATCTTAGTACTTAGTACAGCATCCTTTTACAGTTATAACAGCTTTTAAACGTGAAGCATAGCTTGACACAAGTGTCTTGCAGCGATCTACGGGTATCTTCGCCCATTCTTCATGGGCAAAGGCCTCCAGTTCAGTCACATTCTTAGGCTTGCGCACTGCAACTGCTTTCTTTAAGTCCCACCAGAGGTTCTCAATCGGATTTAAGTCTGGTGACTGCGATGGCCACTCCAAAATGTTCCAGCCTTTCCTCTGCAACCATGCTCTAGTGGACTTGGAGGTATGCTTGGGATCATTGTCCTGTTGAAAGGTCCAACGTCTCCCAAGCCTCAGGTGTGTGACGGACTGCATCACGTTTCCATCCAATATCTCCTGGTACTGAAGAGAATTCATGGTACCTTGCACACGCTGAAGCTTCCCTGTACCTGCAGAAGCAAAACAGCCCCAAAGCATGATTGACCCTCCACCATGCTTCACAGTAGGCAAGGTGTTCTTTTCATCATAGGCCTTGTTCTTCCTCCTCCAAACATAGCGTTGATCCATGGGGCCCAAACAGTTCTAATTTTGTTTCATCAGTCCACAGAACACTATCCCACAACTTTTGTGGTTTGTCCACATGGCTTTTGGCATACTGCAGTCGACTCTTCTTATTCTTTGGAGACAGCAAGGGGGTACGCCTGGGAGTTCTGGCACGGAGGCCTTCATTACGCAGTGTGCGTCTTATTGTCTGGGCTGAAACTTCTGTACCCACATCTGACAAATCTTTTCTCAGTTCCTCAGCAGTCACACGGGGACTTCTCTCCACTCTACGCTTCAGGTAGCGCACAGCAGTCGAAGTCAGCATCTTCTTTCTGCCACGACCAGGTAGCGTTTCAACAGTGCCCTTTGCCTTGAATTTGCGAATGATGCTTCCTAAGGTGTCTCTTGGTATGTTTAACATCTTTGCAATCTTCTTATAGCCATTGCCCTTCCTGTGAAGAGAAATCACCTCTTCTCTTGTCTTCCTGGACCATTCTCTTGCCTTCACCATGTTTGTAACCACACCAGTAAATGTCTAGAAGGAGCTGAGTATCACAGTCATTTTAAAGCTGCCTAATTGGTGCTTATTATGCTTGATTGCTGCTCGGTGACATCCACAGGTGTTTTCAATACCTGATGGAAAGCACCTGTATGAACCTCTGTTCTTCAGAGTGGTAGTCTTTAAGGGGTTGAATAATTGTGGCAATGAAGAAACCACATAAGAACCATTTACTACTGTATTACATAAACAATTGATGTCATTTTAGTTGCATTTGGGTAGTTACAACGTCCTTGTAGGATTTGATTCTGAATACAATTCCAAATGTACACTATAGTCCCTAAACCCCTTTACAGCATTGGGGGTTGAATAATTTTGGTCACAACTGTACATTAACATCTTTTGTCCTAAAAGAAAAACACAATAACAGAGCTTCCACTGACCACCAGCACAAGGGGGCAAAGTTCCACTGACCACCAGCACAAGGGAGCAAAGTTCCACTGACCACCAGCACAAGGGGGCAAAGTTCCACTGACCACCAGCACAAGGGGGCAAAGTTCCACTGACCACCAGCACAAGGGAGCA